GTCCACGCCTCCGGGCTGGATGACCACAATGTTTTCAGAACATCCCTTGAGGTGGGCAAGCGAGAAAACTAAAGTCCTTCATTTTCAGAACACCCCGACCAAGGGGTGGGCGAAGGTCGCTTGTTTTTGGAACACCCCGACCAAGGGGTGGGCGAAGGTCGCTTGTTTTCGGAACACTTCAAGGGGTGGGCATGTGGTCGACAATGTCCACGCCTCCGGGCTGGATGACCACAATGTTTTCAGAACATCCCTTGAGATGGGCAAGCTGGAAGACCAAATTCCTTCGTTTTCGGAACACCCCGACCAAGGGGTGGGCGAAGGTCGCTTGTTTTCGGAACACTTCAAGGGTGGGCATGTGATCGACAATGTCCACGCCTTCGGGCTGGACGACCACAATGTTTTCAGAACATCCCTTGAGGTGGGCAAGCGAGAAGACCAAAGGCCTTCATTTTCAGAACACCCTGACCAAGGGGTGGGCAAAAGTCGCTTGTTTTCGGAACACCCCGACCAAGGGGTTGGCGAAGGTCGCTTGTTTTCGGAACACTTCAAGTGGTGGGCATGTGGTCGACAACGTCCACGCCTCCGGGCTGGACGACCACAATGTTTTCGGAACATCCCTTGAGATGGGCAAGCGAGAATACCAAAGTCCTTCATTTTCAGAACACTTCGACCAAGGGGTGGGCGAAGGTCGCTTGTTTGCGGAACACTTCAAGGGGTGGGCATGTGGTCGACAATGTCCACGCCTCCGGGCTGGATGACAAAAATGTTTTCGGAACCTCCCTTGAGGTGGAAAAGCAAGAAGACCAAAGTTCTTCGTTTTCGGAACACCCCGACCAAGGGGTAGGCTAAGGTCGCTTGTTTTCGGAACACTTCAATGGGTGGGCATGTGGTCGACAACGTCAACGGATCTCGCACACCTGAGTTCACATAGTTGTATCAGGTTCGTAACTTGTCGGAGGCTCGCAACATATTAACATTTATGTTAGGATGACAAGGCAGTCTACACTCACGTGGGTAGGGCGTGGAAGACATCTTGGCATATTACGCTGATTATATTTTGATTAATCTTACATTAAGAGAAGGTGAGCACATTGGGAGTACGTGGTCCAAGTTCATTTAAATATATCCAGTTGCTCGAATGGCAAGAAAATGAAGGGGCAAACATCTTAGAGCCTTTTCGACCTATGGTAGCACAAAAGTAAGGCATAGGGAGAGTTGCAAAATGAAGCATCACACCAAAAAGAGAAGAAAATCGCGTTCTCATTCAATAAAAAATTAAAGTACAAGACTACAAAATGCACAGAAATAAAACATAACAACACATCATCAACACCTAACTACTTCGAGGGGGCGGTAGTAGATGGAGCAGCACCAGTCGATTGCACGGCAGCGATCGGCAAAGGCATAGCTGCAGACGAATATGCCGCAGAAGTCGACTGAGCAGCCATGGTTGAGGACATGACGGAAGCAATTGATTGAGTGATTGCAGCCGACGAGGCAAAAGCAGCAAACCCCAGCTGAACCGCCGTGGTCGACTGGGCAGCCATAAGTGGAGCAGAAGCAGTACCAGAAATGATCGATTGCATGGCCACGCTCAAGGAGATGGGGGCAGTGGCTGATTGGGCGAGAGCTGAGGTGGATGGACCAGAAGAGAAGGAAGGAGCATTGGTGGTTAGGGGTTGAGGAGGAATAACCACAGAAAGGTGAACCACGGGCGTCTCGCCAAGCTTAGGCATATCAAAGGAACTCTTCAAGGAAGGATCCCTCGCTAAAGTCCGCTCTAATGACTCTGTCCACCATGGATGCTTAGCAGGTAAGCTGGGATCGCCAGTGAAGTTGGAGGGCGCAGAAGGAATCGCCTCCCAATTTTTGTCTTGGTCGAGTTCGCCCGTGAACCCCATCTGTTTCAGCTAGCGCTCGACCTCTTCCATGCTATAGGTATAGAAATCCATACCCATCCCAGCCGCTTCTTTGAGGAAGGCAGTCAAGCAGAGATAATCTTGGATCGGTTACTCTCGATAAGCCTTAAGGAATGCTTGACCATGTTGGGTCCTCATAAGGCCCGGCGGGACTGCTCCATAGCAACTACAGCCGCCGCCTCGACCTCTTTCATTCGGCCAGCCCTCTCCACTTCGAGGGCCTTATTCTTGCACTTTATCGCGTACTTATATCGCTGCTCGTCCTTCTTCAGCTGCTCAGCCAAGGCATGGCGTGTCTTGATCAGGTCTTCATTCTCCGCCTTCAGCCTCCTATTCTCCTCCTCGAGGCGCCGGTTGTCGCCCTCGAGCACAGGGATTGGGCGACCAGTGTCGTTCATCGTTTTCTCGAGAAGAGGCACGATGGAGACATGGGTCTGTAACACGAAGAAGAATGAGAAAAAGTATAGACAAGAATATTCAAGAACAGTGCTAGAAGAGAAATATACGTGGGTCACCACACGAATTCCATAGTCGGCTTGATTTCGGTGATTCACCCCCTATCGATGCGTATCGTCAAACGGTAGAAAACTCATCAATCGTGACACAACCTCCCGGGGCCCAACGGACACCAAGGAAGAGGAGGAGGAAGAGGAAGGATGCTGAGCGACATGGTCGACAACAGATTTTGCCTCATGATGGGACCGCTTGGGGGAAGACGGATGATTAGCGGATTTCTGACCGACCACCTCGGATCGGAGGCGCTTCCTAGAGACCTCGCTCTCCTTGGTCGAATGGCTAGGAGGGCGTTCGACCTGTTTGGAAGGAGGAGAAGGAGCCCGTTGCTTATTTGAGTGAGAAGAAGCTCCAGACTTTTGAGGTCGAGAAGGGACGTCTATGGTCGAGGAAGATTCCTTGGCCTTCTCGATAGAGGCTGAGGCATCCTTATCGGTAGACTTCTTGTCGGCAGACTTCTTGAAGTTGGGCTTAGGCAAAAATCCCTCTGCACAAATGGAATACATATTAGCAAAAACTTAAGTTGACAACACCAGACAGAAAAATGACAAATATTATCTCGAGTACCTGCTCGAGCTTTCCGGTTAGCTTCTGCAAGAGCAGGATCAACGCGAATTTTGAGAATGGTTTCGGCAAAAGGGGAGAAAGTTCTTTGTGGGTGAGGATACCACAATAGTGGAGAAGGTTATCATCTTTTAGTAGAGGGGTCGAGGCGACAGGGTTCGAGTTCCACACTTGTATGCGGCAGTCGAAGATTGGATTGGAGGAGGGGAGAGCACGTTTAATAGGCACCTCTGTGAGCCAGGGGATCGGCGCCCAAGGATAGGGCTGTGGAGGAATTATATATACAAACTGATCTTTCCACCTTGGGACATTAGATGGTCGATCAGTGATGAAGCAAGCGTTATTCTGGCTCTTCAAATATAGGCCATCAGTTTGTTTCGAAGCAAAATAACAATAAACGAAAAAAAAATCTAAATCTACTCTACCCATACGGACCATAGACAAGACGATAAAGGATGTTAACGTCCTGAAGGCGTTGGGGGTGATCTGATTCAGGGGTAAACCATATCGTCCGCACAGGTCGATCAACGCCTGGCAGATAGGGAAGCGCAAACCCACATCGAAGTGCGCACGAAAAAAGGTATAACAATCAGCAGGAGTATTGTGGTAAGTATCATCATCGCCCGGAGAGTAAAAAGCCCCGAGGTGACCAATCAAGTCGAAATCAAGACAGGTAGTGCTCGAGGATGGCTTGGGCGACTTAGATAACTTGGATTTTCGGGAGGAAGAAGGGATGGTCGAGGAAATAGGGGCGCGAGAGGATAGAGGAATGAAATCTTTAGGGTCACGAGCAGACAGTGGGATGTGATCTTGAAAATCATCCTCATCCTCGATCTCGTCATCTTGACCAATAACTCGACGTGTACGCTCGGTGGGCGGAGAAGGAGGACGGCTTGTAACTTCATCCTCTGGTTGGTCGACAAGGTATGTGGAGGGAGAGACAGTAGTGGCCGTAGGGCTATCGCTGATGATGGTAGGTCGAATCATAGAAATGGGCTCGGGTTGAAGAATCTCTTGAACAGGATCGCTGGATAAGCTGGGAGTTGCAGAAGAAGAAGGAGGGGTCATGTCCTTTCCGCTGTACCGATCATTTTTGCTCGAAGTGGCAGAATCTGAAGGAAAAAGAAGAAAAATTAAATCAAAGCAAAGAAAAGAAAGGGGAAGAAAGGCAAAAGACGGCATAACGGAAGGGCAGAAATCAGAGGAACAAAATGCGAGGAGAAGCAAGGGGGAAGAAAGAGATAAAATTCAAAGTTTAATGAAAACACTCCGAGAAAGAGTCGAGAAGACTTACTCATGGTGAACGACGGAGGACTTGCAGAGAAGATGGAGAATTCGAGATTGTAGGATGCTCGACGGTGGCGAAAAGCTCTGATGTAATGGAGTGCGAAAGTGAGGAAATGAAAATTTTTTCCTAAGGATTGGTATTTATACTACAGAAAATAAGCACAACAAATTTTTGTTTGTCCGATTAAAAGATATTAAAGGCTAAGATGGAGAGAAAGGCGAACAGACGCGCAGGTACGAGCCGTAGGATTAAAGTAGAAAATCCAATGGCAGGAGAAGGAGATACGTAGAAGTAGGGGCGAGATTCGAGGTGGCGATCACGGGATCATCATGACCCCTGACAGACGAAAGGACGCATTTGAAAAGGCAGACAAGTGGCAAAATTCAAAATTCAAAGCGCATATGGAGAAAAGTGGTCGAGCAAAGGTAGGAAACGCGCTAGATGATCGAAGCGAGTGAAGTGGAACCTCGACGACACAGATAAATCCTACTCTTAGATCGAGCCATTCAGACTCGACCAGAGTGGGGGAACTAGATGATATGGGATATTATGTAATAGACCGGTTCACCAGGACAGCCGACTAAAGTATACCAATGGCCCGACCGAATCGGAAAGGGAATCCACAGTGAAGGAAAGAAGGAAGGCAACAGAGAAAAGTAAGTTTGGTGACCTCAGACAAGTACCAGAGGCTCGAGGATTTGGTCGAGGAAGAACGATCAAATGGGCATGGTCGGGGACTCGACCACCTCATACCTCAGTAACAGCTCAATATTCGCTGAAGATGCGGTCGAACATCAGGATAAATAAGGGAGCCTCCAGCACGTGGGAGGAAGACACGCGGCGCTTTACGAGTGGCCTACGGCTATAACGAACTCTGACATTCTCTGACAGATTCGACGCGTTCTCTGACACCAAGGATAGTGGAGGCACATGGTTGTACTAGTGTTTTAAAACGCACATCGCGCATCGTGTCGCATTTTTGTCCTTATATTGCGTAGCGTAAATAGCGTAGCGCATTGCGTAAGCTATTCGAGCAGTTCACTTTTAATGGCAAAAATAATAATATATATTACCATATAAGTAAATAAATAATTGAAATAATCTTAAAACATAAACTTGGACATTAAATACAAAAAACAACATTCAA